TAAAACAAATATTATTTTCATCAACATTAAGCAAATGATAAATATATATATTATTAAAATTAAAAAGAATTAATGCATATGTCTTTACTAGTTTGCAGATATATGTTGCTATATGCTTGGTTGTTAATAGTGATACTGTGTCTAAGTGTCTTTTCTCATAAATATTATAGTAATCATCTAGATTAAATATATATAAAATATCTATTTAAAAACAAATAATAATAAATAAAAAGGTGTGGGTCCCATAGCTTAGTAGTTAAGCTTTTATACTCTTCATAGTCAAGATGTCTGGCTGAAAGCAAAATTAAAAGATTTTAGCTTTTATAACCTAATAAGAAGTCTGTAATTGAATGTGAAACCCTGTGGTTAAGTTCAAATGCAATACAATAATGAAAATAGGAATTTCTAGAAGAAAACCCAATCATGAAGTACAGACACTATGTATAACAAATGGTTATTATAAAAGGTTATAGTTATAGAAAGATTGTGCATATAAGTTCTTTAGGCTAGGACAGCATCAACATCCTTATACCTTCTAATATAAGCAGTACCAACATTCCTGTACCTAACTTGTAGGGTACTTGCTTGGAAGAATAATTAATAGATTATGTAAATAAGTCTTAATTAGGATTCTAGAAGAGGATTTGATTGGAAAAATATTTTAAAAGTAATCATAACTGGAATGGTGAAAGAAGTAGTGAACATGAAGATGGGCTGTAATAAAAAATTGGTCTAACCAAAAATTGAAAACACCTCTGATACAACTGAATAATCTAATTATAAAAAGAAAAAATCTTGAAGATTGGTATATAAGTTTTTTGTGCAATATAAAAGTATCAAATTAGGTTCTTGGTCATACCTATATAAAAATTTATGATAAACAAGACTGAAATCAACCAACCAATATAAGATAAAATCTGCAAGGTAGTATAATATTATTGGGGTTAATGCAACTCTCTAAGGCATAACCAGAATTGTCTTGTAGGTATTATTGAATAAACTGAAAGCTTATAATATATAATAGTATAGTATTACTAAGGTTAAAAGAATTCTCTAGATATAATCAGAATTGTTCTATTTGTAAGTACAACAAGTCTCAATTTTTACTATAGAAGGGAGCACTATGTTAGAGATTAAATGCAGCATCAAGTTACTGTATAATATTAAGACCTGAAACATCTGCAGAAACAGCAACAGCAAATCTGACTTAAGATATAGATTGGTCAAAAGACCAATAATAGCAGCAGATCTGGCTTGAGATATGGATTCATTACAGATCTTAGACCATTGTCAAAACATCTTAGAGGAATTAATAACAGGTATATCAAAGATAGAAAGATTATAAGAATCAAACATATCTAAATAGGACTAATTTGAGAATGATATAATAATAAAAAGGTGAGAAATGTGAGAAACAAGATAATATTAGATATAGTTAAATTAAAAGGCAAAAAAAACAAGACCAGGTAAAACATGTAAATAAGATATATGGATATGATTTATAGAAAACAGTACCTCTGACATTTGGGATACCATATTAAGTTCAGTAGATATTCTTATCTGTGTAGTAGTTTAATGATATGCCCTAACTACAAGTAATTATTAAGATAATTGCATATTGGCATGTGGCAAACATACACTTAGATGCTATAAGGGTAACTAAATAAAGTCAATAATGTAAAATTAAATAATATATAGTACTAGTAATAATTGATTCTAAAAATGTAACTGTAAAATTTGTACTATATCAAATTAAAGCTAATAAACCAACTGGCATTGTTACCAATATTCAAAAAAAAAAGATTAATAATAATAATAATAAATAAATAAAATAAAATAATAATAAAAATAAAAAATAAAATAAAATAAATAAATAAAAAATAAATAAATAAACCTACATTGTTTGTAAAAAACTGACAAATGCTTTGAAGATGTTCCTTTATAAGTTTTTTTTTATAATTGTTTATTGTTTTATAACATACAGAGACATCTAATTTATACAATATGTTAATGCCTACTAATGACAATCCAAATGCTGATAGGTATAATCCAACCTTCAATTCAAAGCTATTGACAAACTTGTTTCTTATATTGACTATCATATAACAGATACTAACCACTGATTTTTTTGCTTCTATTTTGTTGTACATAGATCTTTCATTAAAAATTAGTGCTTTAACTATTAGATCAAAAAATCCATGCAGATAATGATTATAGCTTTCTATTATTAACTTAAAACAAGTTGGATCAAGTTCAACAAAACCAGATCGCTCATACTGATGTTTATAAAAAACCTTTATAAAAATCTGAATTTGTTTCATGAATGTAAGACTATTATTAGAGAAAAAATTCAAAGCATCAAGGATATTTGAGACTGGTATGCTTTCAATATTTTTTTGTTTTATTTCATTAAGTGGAGTTTTTTTAAATGATAATCAGGTTCTACAATGTCCAAATAGTGACTAAAACAAATTTCTTGTCCAATTGTTGGGTTACCATAATACTCTAAAGTTTTTTTTTTGTGCTTTCTTATATGCTATAGGTGTTATTTTGCAAAACTTATTTGAAGTTTTGTTACAATTTTTTATAAAACAGGGACTATCATATTTTCTGACCATGATATAAATTTTTTTTTTTTTTTTTTTTTTAATAATATTCAGGCTTTATCGAAATAAACTTTGAATAATAGTAAAATCTTTATTTCACCAAACATCCACAGCAAATTATTTTTTAACAATAAACTTGTAAACTATTGATTGCGCAATACTTTTGACAGCCTTTTTTTTTTTTTGATTGTTTAACTTTAACGGAATGTTTATTCCAATGAAACCGGTTTAAGCAATACTCTAACTTAATAATCCGATAAAGCCTTGATTACAAGAAACGATTGCAATTTATTTTTTTTTATATAAATATAATGATTTTTACTGACCAATCATAGTCGAATAATTGTGATCGACAGGCTGCATATTGGCAACCAATAAAATTAAACTCTGCTATGCTGCTGATGCAACAGGCAAGTTAAATCTGTTTGTGATAACACCGAACATGAAACAGTGAAATGGACCCAAATAAAGATAGGTTGTAATAAAATTCTTAAATTGTGCCCGAGTCGAGAAAGAATTCCAATTCAACTTACAATAAAATTACGTGTATTCCAAATTATTTCTTCGAGTAAGTTCTCGAATACGTTTTTTAAGTCGCTTTGAAATAAGGTTTATTCATAACACAGCGCATTGCAAATTAGTAGGATGGCTACTACCTGCAAGGTAGTCATTTTTTACATTTACAATAACGTGTTTTTGTAATTGCATTTAATATTACTAACTTGTAAAGAAGATTGTATAATAGGTGCTTCTCGAACACCATAAACGTTAACTAACTCTTTCTATAACGAACTAAAGATTCTAGAAAATTACTATGTTTTCTTAAGAACTTATTGCACTTTTTATGCTGAAATATTATGAAATTTAAGAATTGAGTTCGTTATATCCAGAGTCCACTGTATTATCTATCTAATTCTGGAAACTTATCAGGACCCAACGGAAGCGATTCATTAGCATTATACATAAATCAACTCTATATGTATCATTCTCCAAGACTCTGAGGATCTTGCGGCATGTCTTTCGATCGTTTTGTTTGTATTTACTGGATCTTTAATACAAAATCAAAGCCTTTCACGCGTTATAAAGGGTATTAGTCAATTTGTTGCTAAGAAATTCTTCGAGAAATCTTGAAATTTGGTCATCGATAGTGTTGCAAAAAATGAAAAACTGAAATAAGAAAAAGTAATAAGAAATTTGCATTTTATCTTGACAATTTATCATGAAATGATGTATTTTACTTAAATACATTATGTCAATCAATTACACACATTTATTATAAGTATCGAACTTAGAATCAACTTAAGTTGCTATTAAATTTATCGATTATTACACATTTTTTAAATAATTGTTATAGCAGATTTGTAAAATTTAATCTGTTAAATTTAATTATACTGTAAAGATCAAATAATGTTTTTTACAAAGTATAAAAAAATTTAGTCAGCTGTTATCAGGAAACTTTGGATCAAAATTTATCATAATTTCCTCTAAAATTTTTCACTTAAATAGTATAGAAAAGACTTTCTTAGAAAATTTCGATTTTAATAGATAATGATATGTGAATGGTAATGTAAAATGTTAGGTAGCATGCTCGCACCTCTGTACCTCAAATCCTACCGATAACCCAACAAAATGAGTGACAAAAACAACTTATTTAGTTATTCAAATAGTTTTAAAAAGTGGTCATCGACTAGAACATTTCGTTACTTATTAACCTATTTAAGCTTTAACAAGCATTGACTAGCTTTCTTTTCAATCAAGTATATTCAAACTACTAAATAACAGGTCAAAAATTGCTATTTGCACTTTATTAAAACGTCCAAAAAGGGTTTCGCTTCAGTTACAGAGTTACCGCACTTTATTAGGTTCGAAAGGCCTAATTTATTTATGTCCAAGATTTGAATGGTGCAATATGAACTCTTTGGTATGTTGAGGCCATGTCAAATTAATCTTTTGGTTCTCAGAACATAAAATTTTAACAAATGATTCAGTAATCCGGCTTTTAATTCTATTTTCAAAATTATATATATATATAAATTTTTAATGTAAGCCCATCCGTATAGTAAATATAGCCGAAACTTTTAAGTTTTTGTGAAATTTACCTCGGCTTGGTTGAATATGCTTGCCATCCAAGTTCCAAAGTATTATAGTTTGTGCCCAAATCCAAAACTCTGGCCAAACTAAGTTCTCAAAAGCTTTATTAATAAATCTTTATTTAAACAATTGATATATATTCTTATAGCTATATATATATGCAAAATATCAAAATCATTTGTCCAGATTTGTCCGGCAAGTATAGTTGTGAGATAGATAAGTAAATAAAGAGGAAAATGAATTAATAAACAACCAACAACACTTATTAGTTATGGATAAAAAGCTACCTTCTCTCCGTCATAATTATCCTTCAATTAACTTGTTTACAACAGTTTCTATAGAATCATGCTTTCTCTTAACAGGATCAGAAACAAATCCAGTTTTTGAAGATAAATGATCTTGTAAATTTTGTAAATCCGTCAATTTTTTTTGCGGTAAACTGCTTATAGCACTACTTGATGTATAATTCTTTATGGAACGTAATGCTTCTTCTTCGGTAATTATGGATTCACTTATGGTTTTAATAAGAATCGGGTTTTTAAATAAACGCAGTTGTGCCATTTTAATTGACTCAATTCTAAAAAAAATTTCCATGAGTTCGAATAAAAAAGGCCAATTATATTTGATTGGAAACATGGTTACAAGATCTGTGTGACATAAAAGCTATAAGATTATCACTCGTATTTTCAACATTAAATTTAAAAAAATGTTCACACCAAAGCCGACTGCAATAGTTCTTCACCTTCTAGCAAAAAATGGTCCTCAGACCAGTAAACAATTGGGTCGTCATTTACCGGATTTCCCTCAATTAAAATCAAAAAACTATCTTAAAAAATATATTTTGAAAAATATGAAACTTCGAGAACAAATTTTTAAAAAGAAATCCAGAAATCCTGATTTAACAAAGTCAACAGGCGATAAAGCAGCATATGTATGGTTCGTTAACGATGAGAAAGTTAAGATAGAAAAATATGAAAAATTACCGGTCGGAGGTGGTCATTTATATAAAAGACCACCAATTGGTGGTACTCCCTCACAAATTTTTTCCAATTTTAAAAAATCCAATCCTAATTCTTAGAGTTTAGAACCGGATTATAGTAAACCGGGTCACCGTGTCAAAACGGTTCAACTTTGGGACAAACGGTTGAATATATAGCCTATTACTATTACTATTACTGTATTACACAGAAAACATAAAATATAACACATTATTATTGTATTGTACGGCTACCATACGACTATCTATTGCAAAAATATTTTTCTCTTCATTATTACTTGCTAATATGTAATATACTGTTCGTGTTCGCCGCGTAGCGCTGGGGTTCGGGTTATGTAACGTAATTGTATTGCATAATCGTAGATAGCATAATCAAATTAATTAAAAGTACGTAATAAATTAAAATACACTTTTTCCCTTTCGTAATGCCTTCCGTAGTTACGCAATGATTTTCTTAGTAGTTAAAAGTTATGACTACATTTGCGTAATGACTTCTAGCTTAATAGAAAAATTATATAAAGGTCAATAGGGAAAGATCGTTTCTAAGTTTATGTCTATGACCCTGCGTTAAATTGATGTCGAGTTATAAAGTCTCCCAGGTTGAATGTCCAGGGTACTGCGGTGCATAATTCTGCTCACGCTAAAAATACTTTTTTACATTGTAATTGATTTTAAAAAGTAAAAAATTATTTTTAGTGAGCAGAATTATGCAGTACCCTGGACACTCTACTCCCAGGTCACAACACTATTCACAGGTTTGTATTTACCGTATCGTCGTGAAATGACTCCCCGAGGCGTTATTTAGGGGCGCATTGCTTGAAGAGAGCTAATAATTAATTTAGCCGAAGACTTTTAATAACCAATTTTCATTCGTTTAAATTAATAATTAGCTCTCTTCAAGAAATAACGCCCTGAGGCGTTATTTCGCGACGATACGGTTCACTATCGTATTGTTTTTTTTCATGCTTATTGTCCGGATCTCAGATTCAAATTGAATCTTTTTTTTTATTTTTCGATCACCCTCGAAAATTCAAAAACTAGTCACGATTATCCAAACCATTTTCCTGATTTCAGATTATACGGGTGATCCGGGTGTTATCCGGTTTATCCGACAGATACGGATAAATCTGAACGGATAGACGGATACAATCTGGCAGTAGTGTTAGACATTTGATGTCCAGAAACTGTATCGTACATCATAAAGCTTGTCGAAATTATTATCATTTAGCAAATTATATAACGTCAAAATTTAAACACTTTTAAATCGTTAAAGCAAGTTTCCATTAAGTATTTTTTTTTTACTTATAAAAATTTGCCAGTTTATAATGCATACGTACACACATGAATATTGTCCTGAGCTCATCAGCTATATAAATCTTTCGCCATAAATAAATTTTGATTATTTGATGCTATACAATATCTTACCAGATAACAAGTAATATGAAAAATGTTAGCTATGGTACAATTTTATCAAATGCCTTCATATGCGTCTTGAATGGATCGTACAAAATCATCCACTTCATGGCCCCCAGGACAATCATACCAGAAATCATCTCTGATACATCTCAGTTTGCCATCAATGTAAATCGTACAACTTTTACTAACGCCATATGACTCTGTTATGCTTACGCTTTTAACAAAGAGATTTTTTCCGACATTAGAAGTTGCACATTTATCTACGGGCGTATAATCCACACCTGCTTCTTTGGAACATTGTATTGCCCAATCACGTGAACCAATTCTAGGTATGTAGCGGTTAAGACACAAGAGAAAGTTGAAAAATGTTGTTTGATCTGGATAAACGTAGCGAAAACAGAGCTCCTGTATATTGCCTTTGTTGAAGGGTTTGTATTACTCGTTAGTTATGAGACAGATACTTAAAAAGATCAACGTATGATTACCAATGCATTCGATATCTTCGTGCTTGCAGGATGCACCATAAGTTGCAGAATCATTAAGCTTTGCGACATAATTTGTGGTTATTATGGTGATATCATTCGTTTGTTTCACTACATATTCAGTAAATGAGTAAAATAATAATAATAATAAATTTATTCGCAAATAACTACATTTACATACAAACCTCTCCAAACACAGATTCGCATGCGACTGCGTCTGGACAACGACTCATAACAAATAGTTGAACCGGAACTTTGGGTTTGTTACTATCATATTCTATTTTTCGTGTGTGTTGCAATATATTGGTCGAAAGTAAATAGTATCCAACAATGAAAATGACGACAATGAAAATATAATATACTGTACGCATTTTTTTTTAAAAAAAAAACTTGCGTTTTGTAAAATATATAGTTTGGTCGCTTCGCGCCCAATAACTATATATTATAAGTCACCCGATTTGTCACATCTAAATTTTTATCATATGAATTTCACAAGTTACACAAATACGAAATTTGCATTTTTAAATTTTTTTCGAAAGCCTTAGTCTAAATATGCAACACTTCTTAAACAAAACTAATGCTGAAGTTTTTACGAATCAAACAGTATGAAAAATATAAAAATCGAACAGCTCCCTATTAAATACCACTCTCTTGAAAATAGGCAATTATTTTGCCTAGATCACCAGATGTGCCAAAGCGAGAGCTTTCGCCAAAATGCATTCTTGAAAGACAGGTGCATTATGAAAGTAGTGAAGAAAATCAAAGAAAACTCGTTAATGAGATGTTTTTTATTTTATAATTTAATAATTTCACTTTCGAAAGGTTTTTTAAATTTATTTTATTGCCGTCAAAATTTTCACTTTCACGTGATGGTCATCCAATAGCAAGTCTCGTTTTAATGTAACGTTACACGATCAGGAAGATCAAAAAAATTCCTCTAGATTTTACTATTGTTTTTTTAAAACCTAGCCCTATTATAAACGCTAACCCTAATTTAAACGAATTTAAAGATTTTTAAACACTGTTACATGAAAGTGAAAATTTGACGGAAAGATTCTAAAGCCAGTGTTTCACGTGACCAACAGCCAATTAAATCATATAAAATATGATTTTTTCGAATCAACTAATCAAG